TTTAAAATAATTTAAAACAAAATTTTTTTAATTCTGAAATTTTAGCATTCTATAAGAATTTTGCATACTTTAAACCACAAAATCTCAAATATCCTTCAGTTCCTATTGACAAAAAAAGCCATGAATTTAAAGTGAGGACGTAATACTATAACTTAAAATTTTGTTTCGGCAAAAATTATTTCCAGAGACCTAAGTTTTGAAGGCAAAAATTTAATAAATTATCATAAATAGCTTAACTTTTTTTTTGAGTTTTAGATTTATGAAGCTTACTTTGGGGTTTTAATTCTCTTAGCCTAAATATCATTTGAACAAACCAATTATTTCATTACAAAGTTCACATTTTTTACTATAAAAGACAACTAAAATTTGACCAAATCAGTCACCAAAGTAGGGAGTTCTTACAATTCAAAGTTGAGTGTTTGTAATTGTCAAAACTAAAAAATAAAAAACTTTGAACATTAAATTCTCTCAAATTATTCAATTAAATGAAGTGCCACACATATCATTGAAATGTCTTAAAGAGAACTTTCCAATGATACCAAAAATTTCGTCAGATTGTCACCAAAAAGTTGTCAAAATTTTTTTTAAAGATGAAAAATGTATAAAATATAAGTTAGGATTTATAAAAAAATTATAGAAAATATAAAAATTTTAAGAGTTTTGAGTAAAATCTTACTTTATTCAGTTGATTTTAGGATTGATTTACCTTTTCTCTTTCTCTTTCTTCTTCTCAAGGGTTAGTTTCTGTTAAATCCCCAATTTATCTTTCTGACAAAAATAAATATAGTAAATAAAACCACTATATAACAAAAGGTATTTTAATAAAATAATTTTATTGTCAATTAAAATTCTATTGAGTCAAGTTTTAATTATGGTAAAACATGGGTTGGAGATAAAATTTTAAGAATACATATTTTTTTTAAAATCATAAATCATATAATATAATTCAAATCATATGCTAATTTTGTGGATATTACATGTAAAAATGATAAAAATTTTGTTAATCTAATAGTTAAGTTATAAAGTAGAAAAGGGTTATAAATTTTAAATATTGGATTAACAAATTTTCCATTTCATTGTTTTCTATCATTCTTACCAAGCAATACTTAGATCTAGAACAAGCACTTCTCACTCAGTATTTGAATTTGAGATATACATATTTTCCTATAAATCCTGGAGAATAATATGGTTTGAGTTCCCAGTAGGAATTTTAAATTTTTGGATAGTCAAAGTAATTTAAAATTGTTAGGAGTACGGAAGTGAACAAAGAAACAAAATTAGAGAGTCGGTTATAAGGGAGTTTCCATGGAAGATGAGTGAATAAAGGATGGTTTGGTCGCTGGTAAGATGTTAAAATAAAGAATAATCAAAACTTAGAAGAATTTATTATTGCAAATCCGTTTATAATTCAAACACAAAACAGCTAAATTCTCGATGTGGAATAGAGGAAAACCCATGGAGGGAGAAGCTAATGCTTTTGTCACTCCTTAAATCCACACATCGCTCATCTCACCGTAATGGCTTTTTCTTTTTTTTTTTTTTTTTTTTTTTCTCTTCAGAGAAGGATCCACTACACCTTGTTGTGTACATACTATGATAGTATGAACATATTACCATATGGTCAACAACTAATTTGATAAAAAAAAAAAAATCCCAATTGCTTTAAATATGCTTGATGATATGATAACAAAAAAAAAAATTCCATTGGTTAGGATTAGCTTTAATAGAATTAAAAAATATATATTAATTGAAAAATGTAAATTTTTATGGGATGATTGCAATTCGTTTATTTAAAACAAAGGGTAAATTCTATTTAGGGTTTCTAACTTTTGATTTTGATTTTATTTTAGTGCCTAAAATATAAAAAAGACTATTCGTTTCTCACATAAAAACGTAATGTCTGTTAACAAAAATGATGTTTTTTTATCTTAAAAAACATAATTTTTGTTAAAATTATGAAATTTATATTTTTTTCATAATATATCAACAAGTAAAATACAGATAAGTAAAATATAATTTTTTTTCATAATATTTTTTTAACAAAGATGAAAATTTTAATAGTAAAAACATGATCGTTGTTGAAAATATATTAAAAACTATGTATATAATGTTTTTATTTAAAATTATTTAAAAAATTCATAATATTTTATAAAAAAATTATTATGTATCTAAAGTTAATAACATTTTCTGTATAATTCAAAAATATAATTAAATAACGACAAATGGAAAAATTTTCACTTTTTCTACAAAATACGAAAAAAAAAAATCAGAAAGATGAAAGTGTTTTATGTTCCTTTATATATATATTTTTTTAGCATACATAAAAATGTCTCTGTATCAATTCTAAAATTAATATCTATTATCAAGCTGAAGTAACATCTAAATCAATGACAGTATGAACATATTTTGATAAATTCAACAACTAATTTCATAAAGAAATCCCAATTGCTTTAAATATGCTTGATGATATGATAACAATAAAAAAAATCCATTGCTTAGGATTAGCTTTAACAGAATAAAAAAATAATTAAAAATGTAAACTTTTGTGGGATGGCACAATTCGTTTATTTAAAAGAAACGGTAAATTCCATTTAGGTTCTCTAACCTTTTATTTTGATTTTATTTTAGTGCTCAATCTTTGAATTATTAATGAAAAATGTAAAAAAGAGATCAAAATAAAACCACTTTAAAAGGTTAAGATCTAAGGGAAACAATTTAGAAGTTAAGGACCAAAGTTAAATTAAATCCAAGATTAGATGCCATAGATGAAATTTACCCTAAAAGAAGAGAGAAGTCCTAACTTACTGCTACAAAAAATGAAAAAAACAAATTGAAATGGTACGAATAAACAATGCCAACCAATTCTCCAATTATTTTTTATACTAATAGACAAAGACTTATTTCTTTATTATTTCCAAGTTGAGGAAAATGTAACTCCTTTTGTTTTTTGTGCTAATGAACAAAGACATATTCCTTGGTATGCGGGGACAAAAGTGTTTTATATAACCTTTATTATTTTTTATTGTACATGAAAATGTCTCTATATTAAATCCTAAACTAATGACTATAATTAAGCTAAATTAACGTCTAAATCAATGATAGTATGAACATGTTATGATAAAGTCAACAGCTAATTTCATAAAAAAAAATCCCAATTGATTTTAAATATGATTGCTCATATATGATAAAAAAAAAAATTTTCTTGGGGTGACCCAAAATAGCTCATTTTTCTGATAATAACCTGATTTTTTAGTTCAAAAATAAAAAATATATATAACTCTTACTTTAATATAAATAGATCTTTCCTCTTGTAAATATATTCCTACTCATAATTGATAAAGTGTAATTGGAATATTTTTGAGTTGTGGGGGTGTTTTTATTATTACATCGCTAAATGGGCTTTAGCCTTCTAGACTTTTTAAAATAAATTTTAATTTGTTGGTTCAATATAGTTTTGAATCTTTTGTACCTACAAAATAGTTTTTTTTTGTAAATTTTTTTTATAGATTCAATGTGTTGGTTTTTATTTTAGATTTTATTTTTAAATTTTTTTTAATAAATATTCATCCGATTAGTTCAATCAATTTATATTTTTAGAATAAGGTGAAAAATTTTTGAATCTTTTGATGAGAGAAAAAAAAAACACCCTATAAAAGAAAAGAGAACGAGAAGGGGAAGTGGAAAGAGAATTATAGAATAACTATTATATTTGTAAAAAAATTTTAATTTAAAATAATTTTTAAAATTTTACTAAATTCAAATGTTTATTGATTTAGACTTTTAAAAATAAAAAATATGACACTTCTTCTAGTGGAACGAGGGAAATTTTAGTAGTATATATAAAAAGTGTTTTATTTCCATAAATTTGACCTCTTGGGGAGTTACCACGAAATTTATTAGGTGCATATTATGATAGTATGAACATGTTAGGAGATAATCAACAACTAATCTCATAAAAAAAATTGCTCTAATATGCTTGATGATTTGATACTAATAAAATGTTTCCTTGGCTGCGATTAGCTTAACAACAATTGATTTAGAAAATGTAAAGCTTTTTTTTTGGATGGTTACAATTAGTTCATTTAAAAAGAAACGGGTAAATTTCATTTAAGATCTTTAGCTTTTATTTTGATTTCATTTTAGTCGTCAAGTTTTTCATTTGAGTTCTCAACTTTTAAAATGGTTTCTTTTTTTTTTCTTTAAATAATGATTTTATAAACTTTGAAAATGTCTATATATATATATATATTGTAGCTTACATGGCATGCTACATAGATACTCCCTAATCATGCCACATTGATATTTTCTCAATTGTTAATGAAATGTGAAAAACTGAAAAAGGGCCAAAATAAAATCACTTTAAAAGGTTAAGACCAATCAAAATAATTTAGAAGCTAAGGGCATTTGGTTAAAGATTAGATGCCATATATAAATTAAATTTATTCTATGTACGTTTGGTTCACAGATTTTTAGGTTTTATAAGGGAAAGTGAAATTGAAAAAAAAAATGTAATTTTTAGATTTTGTTGACATAATGAGTGTATGATTTTTGTATTTGATTTAGAAAAATGTATGATTATCTAATAATATTTTTTACATATTATTTTAATAATATATGATTAACACATAATATTTATAACACGTAAATAATATATAAATAATATATGATATTTATAATACGTAACACATGAATAGCAAGTTGTACTAATAAACAAAGACTTCTTTCCATTGTTGTATATTCCTATGTTGAAGAAAATATAACTAAGTTGAATATTGGGTTCTATCTGTCTGTCTGTATCTCTATATCAAGCTGCAGTTGAGCGTTATTTAAATTATTTTGACCATGACTTTTCCGAAACAAGCTACGATATGAAAGAAGTTATCTCCCACCCTCTTATACCTCTTTCTGGATGGTTTAATCGCGCATCAATTTTCTTTCACTAATCGATCAATTAATCTCTCTCTCTCTCTCTCTTCTCTCTCTCTCTCTTCTCTCTCAAAATGGCAGAAGCACTTGTTTCTTCCATCTTGAAGAAACTAGCAGCTATCACCATTGAGAATGCCAGGCAAGAGCTGAAGTTGGTGACAGATGTTGAGAAAGAAGTCGAAAAGCTTGAAAGCAATTTTAAGGCCATCCACGATGCGCTTGAAGATGCAGAGGAAAAGCAAATTGTGGAGAAAGATGTGAAAGGTTGGTTAGATAAGCTCAAAGAAGTGTCTTATGACATGGAGGACGTGTTGGATGAGTGGAGCACTGCACTCTCCAAGTTACAAACAGATCCTGAATTAGTTGCAAGTGCTTCTACTCCCGAGAGGATGGTATGTCCCTTCATTTCATGTTTTTCCTTTGGTCGTCGAGTTGTTAGGCGTCATGACATTGCTATCAAAATAAAAGGAATCAATGAAAGGCTAGATGAGATTGCTAAGGAGAAAGAGAGATATCATTTGACAAAAAGAGAAACCAAACAACCTAGACGAGTAGAGAGTACATCTTTTATTGATGTGTCCAAGTTACATGGTCGAAATGAGATTAAAGAAGAAATAGTGAATAAATTGTTGAATGAGACTAGTGAAGAAGGCTGCATTCAGACCATCTCTCTAGTAGGGATGGGAGGGATCGGAAAAACTGCTCTTGCTCAAATGGTGTTTGATGATGTTAAACGCCGAAAATCCTTTGACAAGACAGTTTGGGTGTGTGTCTCGGACTTTTTTGATCAGTCCAAAATTGCAAGAGAGATTCTGGAAGGCCTTGATGGTGGTTCAACAAATTTCCAATATCCAATTTCACTACAAAGTCTTCTGGACAAAATTTGCGAGAAAATCAAAACAAGTAAATTGTTTCTTGTTTTTGATGATGTGTGGACAGATGATGGCCGAAATTGGGAATCACTAAAAGCTACTTTCCAACATTGCCTAAAAGGTAGTAGGATTTTAGTGACTACTCGGAAAGAATCTGTTGTCCAGGTGATGGAATCATCTCATATCTTTCGTTTAGAGCAATTATCGGACGAGGTATGTTGGATGATTCTTAGTCAAGTTGCATTTATTGGAAGAGAGGGAAGTGAGTGTGAAGTTTTAAAGGGTGTTGGAATGGAAATAGCTAAAAAGTGTAAAGGCTTGCCTCTTGCTGCAAAGACTTTAGGAAGTTTGCTACGAGAAAAAAGAAGTAGAGTTGAATGGGAAAATGTCTTGAATAGTGAGTTTTGGAAATTGGATATAGCAGAAAAAGATATTTTTACGCCTCTATTGTTGAGTTACTACGATTTACCCTCGACAATAAGACGATGCTTGTTATATTGTGCAATTTTTCCCAAGGATTATGTGATGTTGAGAGATGAACTGATTTTGCATTGGATGGTACAAGGTTTTCTGAACTTTGATGACAATTTGGAGATGGAGGTTAAAGGTGAAGAGTACTTTTACCACTTAGCAGGTCGTTCTTTCTTTCAGGATTTTAAAAAAGATACTTCTGGCAACATATATGAATGTAAGATGCATGACTTGGTGCATGATTTTCTTCAGTTTTTGACAAAAGATGAGATTGTGGCGGAGGAGATTAATTCGGTTGAAACTTTGAAATTGGATTTATCTTCCAAAAAGGCTCGCCATTCAAGGATAACAATTGGACAAGGGAAAAGATTTCCTGTGTGTATAAATGGAGTTGAAAAGTTGCGAAGCCTTATCACAATTGTCCAGGGCATGTTGTAACCACCAGTGAAGCCTTGCGGAACTTATTCAATACAGCAAAGAGTCTAAGACTTTTGGAGTTTGGGTTCTTGACTGGGTCATTCGCTGCAAGTGTTCAAAATGTTCCAAAAGAAATAGGAAACTTAATTCACTTGAGATACCTCAGTTTTCGTTTTAGCTACAATTTAATAAAATTGCCTGAATCAGTTTGCGAACTACAAAATTTGCAATACTTGAATCTCTGCAGTTGTCTAAATCTTACGAAACTACCAGATGAGATGAAGAAATTGATCAATTTGAAGTATCTTTATACATCTACTTGTGTTGGACTAGCATACTATCCGAAAGGGATTGGGAGATTAACTGGCCTTAGGAGATTGGACAGAATCATAGCAAGAGTAGACCGCAATGATGCGACAGAATTCAGTGTTGGAGATCTAGAAAACTTGGACCTGCTGTGTGAAGGTCTTCAGTTGGATATGGAAGGAAATTCGATTGACAGCGAAGAGGCTAAGAGAGCCAAACTTCACAATAAGATACATCTCACCAAAATGACAATGACATGGGCGGGCATCGGCCAGCGAGAAATGAGAAATAACATCGTTGAAGCCTTGAATCCACCTCTCAACTTATGCCTCCAGTGGCTGAGCTAGATATACCGAAAGAAACAAACAGGTATCTATTTCATGGTTCTCATTCCAAATTTTCTCCAAATTAGTACCACAACTAAATTCACTATTCGTTAGTAGATTTTAGTTTACTACGTCTATCTATATGTTAAAAAAAGAGTCCAGCTTTTCGTTTGCATGAAATTTTATAATAATTGCGTAAGTCAATCAAATATGCATTATCCTCGTAGCATTTTAGCAAAAGCTATTTGAAATATCTACCTTTGTTCTTCTTTTCTTTCCATTTTTTCTAAGATAATTTTTTGCTCAAACTTTGCTTTGCAGAAATCACTTCAAAGCTCAAAAAATCTGATTGCTGTGTTGAAGTTTCAAGCAAGGATGACCTCGCTCTTCTAAGGAACATCAACAGATACGTGAATCAAACAAGTTGTGTTGTCCATATCAAAGAAGACAAGATTGTGGCTTTCACCTGTTCTTACTTGTAATAATGTAGTAGAACCTATTGTTTGTGTTAGCAGATTGCTGTCATTGGAAATCTGTAATGGTATGATTTGTTGTATGCTTGTCTTATGAATGAACTTAATGTGTATGATGTTTAACTAGATCACCCTGTTTTAATATTATAGTATTGCTACCATATTTTATTCTGTGGACTAATTTACGTCTAAGATTATTGAGGAACTAATTTACATCAGCTTGAGACATTTTAGAGAAGAGGTTTCCCACTAGCCTCTATAGGCTGATGCTCTGATGAACTTTTGTGGGATGGCAGCAATTCGTTTATTTAAAAGAAACGGTAAATTCCATTTAGGGTCTCTAACCTTTTATTTTGATTTTATTTTAGTGCTCAATCTTTGAATTATTAATGAAAACTGTAAAAAAGGGATCAAAATAAAACCACTTTAAAAGGTTAAGATCTAAGGGAAACAATTTAGAAGTTAAGGACCAAAGTTAAATTAGAATCCAAGATTAGATGCCATAGATGAAATTTACCCCAAAAGAAGGCAGAAGTCCTAACTTACTGCTATAAAAAAAAAAAAATCAAATTGAACTAGTACGAATAAACAATGCCAACCAATTCTCCAATTATTTTTTTATACTAATAAACAAAGACTTGTTTCTTTATTATTTCCAAGTTGAGGAAAATGTAACTCCTTTTGTTTTTTGTGCTTATGAACAAAGCCTTATTCCTTGGTAGCTTTTGTTTTGATTTCATTTTAGTCGTCAAATTTTTCATGTAGTTCTCAACTTTTAAAATGGTTTCTCTTCTGTTATTCCTTTAAATAATAATTTTATAAACTTTAAAAATCTCTATATATATTGCAGCTTACATGGCATGCCACATAGATGTTCCCTAATCATGTCACATTGATATTTTCTCAATTGTTAATGAAATGTGAAAAACTGAAAAAGGGCCAAAATAAAACCACTTTAAAAGGTTAAGACCTAATCAAAATAATTTAGAAGTTAAGGGCATTTGGTTAAAGACTAGATGCCATATATAAATTAAATTTATTCTATGTACGTTTGGTTCACAGATTTTTAGGTTTTATAAGGGAAAGTGAAATTGAAAAAAAAAATGCAATTTTTAGATTTTATTGACATAATGAGTGTATGATTTTTGTATTTGATTTTTTTAAAAATGTATGATTATTTAATAATATTTTTTATTATATTATCTTTGATAATATATAATTAACACGTAATATTTATAACACTTAAATAATATATAAATAATATGTGATATTTATAATACGTAATACATGAATAGCAAGTTGTACTAATAAACAAAGACTTCTTTCCATTGTTGTATATTCCTATGCTGAAGAAAATATAACTAAGTTGAATATTGGGTTCTATCTGTCTGTCTGTCTGTCTGTATCTCTATATCAAGCTGCAGTTGAGCGTTATTTAAATTATTTTGACCATGATTTATCCGAAACAAGCTACGATATGAAAGAAGTTATCTCCCACCCTCTTTTACCTCTTTCTGGATGGTTTAATCGCGCATCAATTTTCTTTCACTAATCGATCAATTAATCTCTCTCTCTCTCTCAAAATGGCCGAAGCACTTGTGTCTTCCATCTTGGAGCAACTCACTGCAATATATCACTATTAAGAATGGGCGGCAAGATTTGAAGTTGGTGACACATGTTGAGAAAGAAGTCGAAATGTTTGAAAGCAATTTTAAGGCCATCCACGATGCGCTTGAAGATGCAAAGGAGAAGCAAATTGTGCAGAAAAATGTGAAAGGTTGGTTAGATAAGCTCAAAGAAGTGTCTTATGACATGGAGAACGTGTTGGATGAGTGGAGCGCTGCACTCTCCAAGTTACAAACAGATCCTGAATTAGATGTAAGTGCTTCTATTCCCAAGAGGATGAAAACTTATATAACTTCATGGGCTTCTTCTTTTCTGCAAGTTGTTAGACGTCATGACATTGCTAACAAAATAAAGGGAATCAATGAAAGGCTAGATGAGATTGCTAAGGAGAAAGAGAGATATCATTTGACAAAAAGAGAAACCAAACAACCTAGACGAGTAGAGATTACATCTTTTATCGATGAGTCCAAGTTACATGGTCGAGATGAGATTAAAAAAGAGATAGTGGAGAAATTGCTGAACAAGACTAGTGAAGAAGGCTGCATTCAGACTATCTCTCACGTAGGGATGGGAGGGATCGGGAAAACTGCTCTTACTCAAATGGTGTTTAATGATGTTAAACGCAGAAAATCCTTTGAAAAGACTATAGCTGTGTGTCTCGGACTTTTTTGCTCAGTCCAAAATTGCAATAAAGATTCTGAAAGGCCTTGATGGTGGTTCAACAAATTTCCAATATCCAATTTCTCTACAAAGTCTTCTGGACAAAATTTGCGAGAAAATCGAAACAAGTACATTGTTTCTTGTTCTTGATGATGTGTAGACAGATGATGGCCGAAATTGGGAATCACTAAAAGCTACTTTCCAACATTGCAAAAAGGGTAGTAGGATTTTAGTGACAACTCGTAAAGATTCCGTTGTCAAGGTGATCATCTCGTGTCTTTCCTTTAGAACGATTATCGGACGAGGTATGTTGGATGATTATTAGGCAAGTTCATTTTTTGAAAGGGAGGGAAGTGAGTGTGAAGGTTTAGAGGATGTTGGGAAGGAAATAGCAAAAAAATGTAAAGGTTTACCTCTAGCAGCTAAGACATTAGGCAGTTTGCTACGAGAAAAAAGTAGAGTTGAATGGCTAGATGTTTTGAATTGTGAGTTTTTGAAATTGGAAATAGTAAATAAAGATATGTTTAGGCCTCTATTGTTGAGTTACTATGATTTACCCTCGACAATAAGACGATGCTTGTTATATTGTGCAATTTTTCCCAAGGATTATGTGATGTCAAGAGATGAACTGAGTTTGCATTGGATGCTACAAATGTCACACCTTGAAATCGAAACATAACACAGTCATAATATTTTGTAGTAAAATCTCAAAGCAATACAAAACTTAATCCATAATCATTGGAAAATCCTCAAATAAAATAAGGTTCTCAATAAGTTTTAATATCTATAAAATAACTAAATAACATGTCTCCAAACCGTCAACGTTGAATGTCACAACTTAAAAAGAAATAATACTTCATAAAATCTATTCTCTAAGTAGTTCTCCAATGTTCAGATTCTTCTAGTTTCTAACAAGATTAATCATACTTATCATTCATATCATCTGTAAAAGAAAAGAAAATGAGAAATGAGCAAACCACAGCTCAACAACTATAAGCTCACACACTTTACCGAATCAAACATCATTTTCATACATACTACATAGATCATTTCGAAAACATTCATCAACTCATAATGTCAAATATAATTAAAAAATCAGCATTCTGTCAAGCATTTTGTAGATCATAAATCAATATCAAAACATGTCACCAAATCATAGATCAATTTGTAAAAATCATCACAAATCATCATTGTCATTCATTTATCGTTAGCTACAATCATTGCTATAATCCATGACATTTGGTCGTATCAATAATTTCATCCTCATGATCATTGCTATTATAACCCGCTAGCCAGAGCTTCGTTAACTATTATAATCCGTTAGTAGGGCTGTATAATCATGTCTTTACTAATACTATAACCCATTGGTAGGGCTGTATGAATCATGTCTTTACTAACTACTATTACCCATTAGTCAGGTCTGTAAAACTAGTTTTAGTGTCGATGATCTCACTTCCCATTGATGTAAAAAAAGTAGCTATCATAAAATCGTTCTTTAAATATAAATTATTTTCTCATTTCATTCATAAACATGATCCATCATTTATATAGAGAAACGCAAAATAATCATATGCTTAATCCTATTTTCATTCATCGAAAATAATGATATAAAACTATTCATTCATTTAGAAACATATATATATATATATTCGAAAACAAGCAAAGTGTATAAGATTCTACTTACCTGCTTCTGATTCCACTACTTAGTTTTTTCTCCCAAATAATTACTGGCCTATTCAAGATAATTTCATCATAATAATAATTAATCAACCAATTTGAGACCACTTATTCCAAAACAATTGAGTTAAACAAGAATTAACTCAAGTAACTAATTTTGGTTGCTTACACTACTTTCACTAAAATTATCATATCTCAATATATCCAAATTCGAATTAAAATCTTTTTAATGCGTTAGAAACTAAACTAGATAAGCTTTCTAACCATATATGGCCCATCTGATTGTTCCTTGTGGATTAATTATAATAATTTTTACAATCTACGTCATATACTGTTACCAAACAGCTTGCATATCTTCTAATAAAAATTATGTACTTATTAGTAGGAAACTCCAAATTTAATTTCGATTGTTTTGTTGGAAAGTAGACTCAATAAGCTTTCCAAACATATATGGTTTAATCTGTAATTCTTTGTATGAAAATTAAAAAGAATTTTGAAATTTTTCCTTACTACTGCTACTAGGTAGCCTGCATAAACTTAAGTAAATATTAACCTACTCTTCATAAAAAAACTCATAATTAACTC